GGAAGGGCCCGCCCGTCGAGAGGGTGGGTTCGCCGGCCGGCCCCGCCCACTCTGACCCTGCGGCGCTGCTTAGCAGTCGCTGACTTGGGGCCGGTTCTGCCGAGGCGGGGAGCGAAAGGTTCGAATCCCCGCGGCTCGGAGCTGGCGCCTCTGGACACCACCGGGCTGAGATGGCGGTGGGTGTCACCCCGAGCAGGGTTGCGCAACCTGCGAACAGTCAGGCCGACTGCTTTATTTAACTTCCCCCGGAGCAGCGCCCCCTCGGGCCGCCGGGTGTGATGACAAGTTCTGCTCGAATCAGCCAAGGGAGGGCAGGTTCTTATCTTCATAAAGGTTGCAATCAGCCCAGAAAGAATGTCCTTGAGTAAATGGAGGAATTGGAGTGGAAAAGCCAGAAAGTGCACAAGGAATGGAAGTGGATGTCATTGCACCCATTGTGAAAGAGAGGACAACTGAGGTGCCGTCTATGATAGAAACTCGTCCAACCACAGCCGGCAAAGCAATAAATGGCTTATAGCCTTTTATTCCATGTGATGGGGAGGGTGAGCATTTCTGACCTAAGAAAACTTACCTGTATCCCAGAAAATGGAGCAGCTGGTAGTTCCTTGGTACAGGACTTTTCCTCCAATATTAGCCAACACTCTTCATAATCAGCCGTCTTTCCATTACATTAATTTTATGTGTGGTTTTTAACCATTATATCAGTGTCTCTCAAGGCTAACCTTTGAACTTGAGCCAAAGCCAGCTTTTTTGAATTTAGGTCTCTGAGAAGCCAAAAGGGCCACAGTTGCCTATTTGCCCTGCACCACCTCCCTGGTGGTGCAAATCCTGTGCCTAACATCTAATTCCTGGACAGTTTTCAACACCCCCTGCCCCATTTGTCATTGGTATCATGGTAGGTGCTGATAGAAAGATGTAAAAAAATACAAGCCTTCATGAGGGAATAAAGAGGGATTGGGTTGAGATTAAACCATTCATTCCTATTTTGAATCTCGGTGGTTCCTTAGCCCATTAATGATTAATCAGTGAGAATTAACCTGGATTAGCTTTCCACATTCGGTCATTTTCTGACAGTGAGCCCCGGCTTGTAGTAAAAGTCAAGAGGCCCAGCTTCTGGCTGACGATTGCTACCAACAAGTTCTTCTGGGCCAAGAGTAAGCCATTTACCCTCTCAGAACATGGGTGTCATCCTCTAAGGCAACTCCTTCCCCACACTGGGCTTTAAGGAGGAAATTCATCCATTCATTCATCATTCATTCACCCATTGGTGTTTGTTGAGTGCCTGTTATACACTGCCAAGCTGGGCAAGCAGCCTAGAGTGATAGGATCAGCTGCCCTAAGGGCCTGGCCAGGTGCAGGGACCTTTATCTTGTTCACTGTGTGTCTTTGTTCTAGTTTTCTCAGAAGCACATTCTAGCAGGAAGGTTGAGTTCGGATAATTTATTCGGGGGATGATCATAGCAAACATTGGCGGAGAAGAGGGATGGGAAGGAGCCAATAAGAAAATAACATCAAGCAAGTGACTGCAGTGGGCCACCCGGGCCCAATGTCCCTGGGGCTGCTGGGAAACCATGTAGAATACACCCCAGAGATGTCTACCAGAGGGGTGAGGACAGGGTTGTTTACTCGATCACAGCCATCACTGTCTGGGGGCTTCTCCTGGGGGACTTTAACCCCCAACGCCCCCTCAGTCAGACAAAGTCTTGCAGCGGGAAGCCCTTGGCAGAACGGGGAGTGCCCAGGGGTATGCCGGGCCCAGCAATGTCTTCTACACTGTGAACCAGCGTCTGACATGGTGCCTGCACACGAGAGGCTCAGTAAACACGTGTTCTGTAAATATTGTTCAATGAGTGTTAAGGTTACAAAGTCCCCGGGAGTGAGGGGTGTTTACAGGAAAGGGGCTCCTGGTCTGTCCCCTCCCATAAGTCCATGTTTGGTGTGGCCTCACCACAGTATGGTCTGAGCATCTGCCATTCCCCTAGCCTGCCCCTTGCCACCCCCAGTGTGCTGTGGAGATTCTCAGCCCCATCATTCTCACACACTTGGAGCAAGGAAGTCAAGGCTCCTGCACTTGGCACTGCCAGGGCTGGTCTGCCCATGCCCATGGTGACCTGACTCCCAGCCACCGCTGTTCCCACAGACCCCCACTCTTAGCCCTGCACGGCCCCATCATCTCTTCCAAGGGATATCTGGGAAAAACCAGAACCACTCTCAAGACTAGATAGCCAGGGTCTGCCCATCGAGAGGAGTGAGAAACATCCCCCAGACTCAGGTCGGCTAAGCCACACAGTCCTCCATCAACCCAAGAAAGGGCCCGGCCCATGGTCCAGCCTGCAGGTCCCATCTGCTCAGTGCCAGGTTCTCCTAGGCCAGAGCCGACCGTGCAGTCAGAGAGAGAAGCCCCTGGAGATCTGGGAGCTTTCTGGGCAGGGAAGTCACATCAGACTGAAGGGGACAGCAGAGGCTCGGAGGAGAAGTGGGAGGTAGCCAGGCCCAAGAGGGCGCACCGTGGAGGACCAGCCTGGGCAACATCAGGCATGAGAATCTGAGATGACACAGTGCGTGACAGACGCAAGTTCTGAAATGATATGACATATGAGGGATGCTGGGAATTCTGAGTTGACACGGCGCATGTGGGACACTGGGAATTTTTATTTATCAGTTGTAATTTTATTTTATTTTTTTTTCAATAGAGATGAGATCTCAAGCTCCTGGCCTCAAGCAATCCTCCCACCTTGGCCTCCCAAAGTT